GCGCAGCGCGGGCGCCGCGGAGGCGGAGGCGCCGGGGACGGCGCGGCGAACCCCGCTCGGGCTGCTCACCTGCGCTCCGGCCCGCGGCGGCCGTGAGTCAGGCGCGCCCCGCCGCGCGAGGAACGCTCGGGGCCTCCGAGGGTCCCCCGGGCTCTCCCAGCCCCACCTTGGAAGTCGGCCAAGGCTTCTGGCGGCTTGGGTGGACCCGAAGGAGAACATCATTAAATCGCACAGTGGCCAGGGGGTTCTGTAGCCGACTAGGAGTCCGAGTCCCCATCCGATAAAACCTCTGAGGACCTCTTTTCTGAAGGGCTTCGAGGGAGCTTTTCTTAGCAAGTTGGCTCTCTCTCCTCCCACCGGAAAGGTTCTTGGCTGGGAGTTTCTCCTCCCAAGCCTGGGGGTGGGGAGATTGGGGAGTAGCAGAAGGGGACCAGAACCTGGAAACCTGAATTCGGTGCCTGGAAGATGCTTAAACTAACTCCTATTGACGCGATGATCGGGGGACAGCCCCCTAACTCAGACCTTAGGGTTAGAAGTATTTGAAGAGACTGAGGCCAGATTCCCAAAGCTAAAGTCCTACTGGTCTCATCGCTACGTTTGCCCAGAAAAGGAATCTAGGTTCTTGGGTTTCTGCCCCCCAACTGACCCACACTGCTGTGCTGTCGGGTTGCAGTTTGGGAACCAGTCTATCAAAGCTGTGCTTGCTGACTGTACTGCAAAGTGGATTCTTCTCTCAGGGAGACACGAGGAATGCAAGACAGGCAAGCCTGAGAGAGCAACTTGAGATAAAAATTTAGTAGGCAGAAATGTCTTGGGGTCTTTCCCCGGTCGTACAGCAGACCGTCTTTCACAATAGGAGCGAACAGCAGTTTCCTGATCACCCTCTCTGACCACCCTCGGGGTTGTTAGGAGGCACAAAGGAACTACTGCTCTCAGTGACAAAATGGCCTTGAATCCATGAAGCACTGTATAAAAGGCAGGTACAGTATAAAGGTGTGCGGTTTCCTCAAGAAGTATTTGTTGGGTGCCTGCTGAGGCATTGGCTAGAGATGCGGTAAGGTGCACAACTAGCTGCATCCCTGCTATCATGAGGCTCCCTGTCTAGTGGACCACAAACAACATTTCAAAGTCATATACCATATAGTTCACCTACCTAAAGTGATATATAGTTCACCTACCTAAAGTTCAGGGGCACCTGGGTGGCTCAGTCGGTTAAGCTTCTGACTTCGGCTCATCTCATGATCTCACGGTCCGGGTCCGTGAGTTCGAGCCCCGCGTCCGGCTCTGTGCTGACAGCTCGGAGCCTGGAGCCTGTTTCGAATTATGTGTCTCCGTCTCTCTCTGCCTTTCCCCCGCTCACACTCTGTCTCTCAAAAATAAAAATATTAAAAAAATCTTTTAAGTGTACAATTCCGTGTTTTTTTAAATATATTCCCAGTGTTAACGCAAGCATCATCGCAAAATCAAATTTAGAATGATTTCTAAATTGTTCTCAGTCGAGTTAAGTGGCAGACTTTGGCTTTGGTCATGATCTCTCGGTTCGTGAGTTTGAGCCCCACCTTGGGCCCTGTGCTGTCAGCGCTGAGCCCACTGTGGATCCTCTGTCCCCCTCTCTCTGCCCCTCCTGCCCTCTCAAAAATAAATAAACATTTAAAAAAAAAAAAGAACAATTTAATCACCCCTTCATTCTCCCCCTCCCAAACAGTTCTCTTTAGCACTCACTCATCTTTGTTTCTATGTATTTGCCTCTTCTGAACATTTTGTATAAAGGAAATCATAAAATATGTGCTGTGTTGTGTCTGCTCTTGCTTGGCGTATGTTTCAAAGCTCATCCATGTTGTACCATATATCTATCAGAACTTCGATTCTTTTTTATGGATAATATTCCATTGTATGGATGTTCCACATTTTGTTGACTCGTTCATCCGTTGAGGGGCATTTGGGTTTCCACTTTTTGGCCATTATGAATACTGCTGTGAACATTCACGTACAAGCTTTTGTGTGCATACGTTTTCAGTTCTGACAAAAACATACCTAGGATTAGAACTGCTGCATCCTGTGGTGACTATGTTTAACTTTCTGAAGAACAGCCAGACCGTTTTCCAAAGCAGCTGCACCATTTTACATTCCCACCAGCAGTGTATGAGGGTTCCACTTTCTCCACATCCTGACCAACACTTGTCATCATGTGTCTTTTCCATCATAGCCATCCTAACAGTTGTGAAGTGGTATCTCCTTGTGGTTTTGACTGAGATTTCCCTGAGAGCTAATGATTTTGACATCTTTTCGTGTGCTTTCTGGCCACTTGTTTAAGGAAATAACTTCCATCTGGAGAAGTGGCTGTTCAGATCTGTTGCCCATTTTTAAATTGGGTTGTTGTCTTTTTGTCATTAAGATGTAATAGGTCTTGGGGCGCCTGGGTGGCTCAGTCGGTTGAGCATCCAACTTCGGCTCAGGTCATGATCTTGCAGTCTATGAGTTTGAGCCCCACGTCGGGCTCTGTGCTGACAGCTCAGAGCCTGGAGCCTACTTTGGATTCTGTGTCTCCCTCTCTGCTCCTCCCCCACTCATGCTCGCTCGCGCTCTCTCTCTCTCTCTCTGTCAAAAATAAATAAAACATTTTTAAAAATTTATAAAAAAAGATGTAATAGGTCTTTATGTAGTCTAGATACATGTTGTCTATCATGCATAACCTTTACTGCTCCAATAGTCTTGTGGTTAAACGTTGTTCTTTATGTGTTCGTCCTCATCCCTTGAACTTGTTTCTTAGTCTGGAAAGATGTAGTTTAACCACATAAACTAATATAAAAGGAGCAAGGACATGTTTGTAAATTTGTGAACCTGAGGCAATATGACTAGATTTTTTTTATTATTATTAAATGATTTCACTGCTCCAGAAGCTGAACTGAAATTCTATACGTTACCAGAACATCAAATAAATAGGATTCATGGAGAGTATCCATAAGAGCAACTTAAGTTCTTTTTTTTTTTTTTAATTTTTTTTCTCAACGTTTATTTATTTTTGGGACAGAGAGAGAGACAGAGCATGAACGGGGGAGGGGCAGAGAGAGAGGGAGACACAGAATTGGAAACAGGCTCCAGGCTCTGAGCCATCAGCCCAGAGCCTGACGCGGGGCTCGAACTCACGGACCGCGAGATCGTGACCTGGCTGAAGTCGGACGCTTAACCGACTGCGCCACCCAGGCGCCCCAGAGCAACTTAAGTTCTATTGCCTACTGTCCCATTAACAATCCATTCTAGGATGATAGTTCTTCCTCTTCACCTGAATGACAGTCCCATAACTATTCTGTTCTCTCGGGTAATAGGAAATCCTACTGTTATTCTAGGAGATAAGACATGATCTCAATTCAGTAATTAAAATTACTTGCCCCATTCCCCAGCAGGGACTTTCTCTGGGCAGAAGTCCGGGCATGGGGCCTTGGGCCTCTCCATCTCACCCTATCCCTGCCAACTTGGGGACAGCGATATGGAGAGGGATTCTTGGAGGGGCAGGTAACTTTGTACTAGACCAGCGCTCTGACAAAAGGGCACCACACCCTCTGGGCCTGGTGGATATGTGCATTTTCTGTGAACACTTCCGTGGCCCCTTCCTGGGAAGGCCTAACCATTATTTCCTGAAATAAGGCAATGAATTCTCTTGAACTGCTTATTCGACCTCAGTCTTGGTTTTCCTTCAGTCCACTCCACACAGACTCTTGCCACTGGGGTCCTATGAACCCTCTGGTGGGACCCTTTAGGCAGAATCCCTTTTAAAATGACCCCAGGCTGATCCCCGACTGTGGACCCTACATACCAGGCATATCTACGAGGTTCATGGTTAAAAGGTAGAACATTCACCAGCCAGGCATAGCCCTCTCTCTACTCTGCTGCCATAGAATGTAGAAATTTCCTCAGGTGGAAGTCTAGCACCCACCCGCTGTTGGCCAGCAACATGTGCCAAGCGCTCAGAGGTCCCGAGGAACCCCTCCTCACTGGGCTTGGTATTAGATGCCAGTGTCCTTGCCCACTGTGGAGGAGGAGGAGGAGGAAAGAGAAGGTAGAACTCCTAGTGCAGCTCTATCCAAACAAAATCTCCCCAATCTTCAGCCACCTCACTCTCAGACCCTCTGTATGAGTGAGAATCTAGCCAGCCCTCCACCATTTGCTTTGAGATTTCCACGTTGTGCTCTTCATCACAACTCATTCTGGCATCCAGCATCTGTCTTTTCCTGGTGCATCAGTCACAACTGACCATTTAACATTCTGGAAGGTAAGAGAACAAAACATTATGCGAATTTATCCCAAGAAGAATTGAATGCCAGCTACTAAAGGGAGGTGGGAAAAGAAAACAGTTTGGAAGAGAAGAGGTTTGGTGTGACCTGCCTTTAGAGTGTCTGATGGGCAGGAAAAGATCTGAGGGGGGAATCCACAGAGGAATTGGGGGCCGCGGAGGTGACGCTTAACAGTCATGAGAAGAGATGTCCCAAGAGTTGATAGGTGAGTGTAAGGAGCCATGAACAGACAGCCAAGGTCCAAGTGAGGGAAAGCCCCCAGCCAGAGGGCAAGAGAGGAAAGAAGCATTGAAGGAAACAGGGAAGGAGGAGATCTGAGGGGTGATTCACCAATGCGAAGGGTAGAGGGGCATAAGGGTGGAAATGCGAGGGAGGCGTTTCTGGCAACCCCCAAAAGACTGATTACATTATGACAGTAAGGACAAAAGCCAGATCTCAGGCACATGAATAGAGAGGGTATACATGTGATAGTACTAGAACATTCACGGAGAAAACTGCCTGAAGAGAAGCTAAAAAACTGGTTAGATGAAGCAGTATTATTAATATATATATCCCCTCACAATGGTACTGAAAACCAGATATGGCTGAAACTGCTTACTCTGTTGGGCCATCCTTCCTCTTTCTGCCGACAGGACTTAACTTGTTTACCAGTATGTCCAGCCTCTTGACATCAGTCATAATTTATCTAGCCCTTTCTGTGTCGACAGTGATTAGTCAGGTGTGGCCCAGTTCTAAGCCAACGAGTTGTAAAGAGAATCAGGAGGCTTCAGCAAATATTTACCTCCCTAATGAGAGGAGGTGGAGAGGAGAAAGGCCATCTCATTCTCATCTCTGGTCAGACCCCCGCCTTGCTGCCTTTGGATGCACTCGAGTGAGGATGGGGTGTTTGGAGCTACAGCAGGATCTTGAGACCAGGAGGGGCAGACCAGAAGAATCAAAGCCATCGTGCAGATACTGAGCTTACCCCACAAGGATGACTACACGTGCTCGTAACGTAGAAATCCCTGTGGTCCGGGGATCAGGAGCATTAATTAGCATTGCCTGGGAGTTTGCAAGAAATACAGACTCTCAGGGCCCACCCCAGGCCAACTAAATGAAGATCTATATTTTAACAAGTTCCCCCAGTGATTCAAATGTATTTTACAGTTTGAGAAGCACTAGCTTAAACTTCTATTGGATGGGTTTTTCTGTTACTTACAGTTGGATACATAGGAATTTATAAGGTGAAGAAGTAAGTCATCAAAGGATTGAAGATTCTGAAGAGATTTAGATGGATATGGAAAGATGAGACCAAGAATAAAAGTGAAGTTGCCCCATGGCCCGGGTCTCAGTAAAGACAGCAAACTCATGTTTGCAGTGGATGTCATAGGCAATGGTGAGGAGTTTCTTAGCAACTCAACAAGTGGTGAATACAGGAACTACCAGAGGAGGGCTCAGGGAAGTTGGACAGCTTGGGTAAGGAGTGGACCCCATGTACACAGATCTACCCTCTGCACCCTAAAACCCCGGAACAGAGATAGTGGATGGCTCCAGATCAACGTAGTGTGAACATTGGCCAAGTAGCATGGGGCTGGGGTGGCCACGGTAATGGCGAGGGTCATCATCAAAAGGCTATGGAGTACAAGGGGGATTAAACAGTGTAAGTAAATGACCTAAATACAACAGCAAAGCTTCACATACAATCTGGGGAAGGCCCGAGAGAATATTCAGTGGTTATGAAGGAGTAGAAGAAAAAGTAGGCAAGAGCATGGTGACTAGAAAGAGGGGCACCAGGGGCACCTGGGTGGCTCAGTCAGTTGAGTGTATGACTTCGGCTCAGGTCATGATCTCGTGGTTTGTGGGTTCAAGCCCCATGTCGGGCTCTGTGCTGACAGCTCAGAGCCTAGAGCCTGCTTTGGATTCTGTGTCTCCCTCTCTCTCTGCCTCTCCCTCACATGCACTCTCTCTCTCTTTCTCAAAAATAAAAATAAAACATTAAGAAGGAGGGGCACCAAATTTGAAATCTCAGAGATTAAGCAATGACTTATGATTATGTGAATTTAAAATAGAAATGTTCTTGGGGCACCTGGGTGGCCCAGTCAGTTAAGTGTCTGACTTCGGCTCAGGTCATGATCTCACGGTTCGTGGGTCCAAGCCCCACGTCGGGCTCTGTGCTGACAGCTCAGAGCCTGGAGCCTGCTTCGATTCTGTGTCTCCCTCTCTCTCTGCCCCTGCCCCACTCGTGCTCTGTCTCTCTCAGTCTTTCAAAGATAAATAAATGTTAAAAAAAAAAATGTAAAGAAACATTCTTAATGAGAAAGAAAAGTTCAGCAACCCACCAGGGGATGTGTGGTTAATGTATTCTTGATAATTATCCAAAAGGTAAAAATTAAAGTCTACCTTTAATAGAAACAAAGTACTCTTCCCATTTGAAATGAAATACTTTCTATAGTGCTCAATAATTTTTTTTTCCTATCATATTCAGTAAATCTTACCAAACGTGACTCAAACTTTAAATGATAATGGATGTAGGACTTCACCTCAGGGGCTTGGGATAAAAACTGAAGCCAACTGTATTAGCTTCCTCAGGCTGCCATAATGAATTACCACAAACTGGGTGGCCTAAAACGACAGAAATGTATTGTCACACTGTTCTGGAAGACAGAAGTCTGAAATTAAGGTGTCAGCAGGACTCTGTTCCCTCTGAAACCTGTCAAGGAGAATCCTTCCTTGTCTCTTCTAGTTTCTGGTATTTGCCAACCATCTTTGGTGTTCTTTGGCTTATGGGTAGATGTGTCATTCCAATCTCTGCCTCTATTTTCACATGGCCATGTTCTTCCCCAATGTCTCTGTCTCTGTGTCTCTCCTCTTCTAATAAGGATGCCAATCTTATTGGATTAAGGGCGCCCCCCCCCCCACACTCCAGGAAAACTCCATTTTAACCTAGTACAAGAGCCAATATCCTGCTTGCAAATAAGGTCACACTCTGAGTTACTGGGGGAGAGGTCTTCAACATATCTTTTTAAGGGAAAAACTCAGTCAGTAACACTAACCCAGTGAGACCAATTGTTTTGGATTAATTCCTTAAATAAAGAGATACTTCGTGCCCAGATTATTAGAGGCCAAAACCCCACAATGGCACATTACTCCCAGTTCCTGGTTCTGGACCTCTCTGAGTAAGTAAGGACAGTGGGTGCCAAGGAAGGGTGATGGGGTAGAAACACCACACAGCGCTGGTGTTCTGGGCTCTGCTCACATCACTCTTGTGGCGGTCACCCCTCCTTCTCACTCTATATCCCGCAAGGGATTGGGCTGTACCCACATCTCTGTTAATCTCTGTTCAAGAGTCCTCAAGAGCTGAGAAGCCAGTAAGGTAGCCCAGCAGCCCTAGGCTACATCCGAATGTGAAATCAAGACTGGCACTCTCCATTCGCATTTTTTCATTAACATACCTGAAGAAAGAATAGAGAGAAATCCTACTAAATCAGTTCTAAGACCACAGTTGTAGAGGTCTGTATATTTTGTAAAGACTCCCAAAATGAGTGGGAAATAAAATAAGAAGTTCTGACAGAGTATATAGTATTTTCCACCTTTTGGACATATAGTACAAATTGTTATTGTGTTAAAAGTCTAATGGTTGCTATATTGTTAGTATTATCTTTACCCAGCAGGGGGGGAATGCAACAAAGTATCATGGTGTCAGAAAAATACACCAGGCACTGTGGCATGTTGCATTCTGCCCAGGAACTACTCTAGTTTAAATGCAGGATTTGCCAAGTGGTAGAAATTTCAGTCTAGCTAGTCTGGAGACTTGTAGAAACCAAAAACAAACAAACAAACAAACAAACAAAAAACACACAAAACAAAACAAAACAAAACAAAACACCAAACTTTTCTGCTTTTAAGAGACACTGGCAGGCAAGTGGTAATTTCCCCAAAATTAAAATGACACTGGCCTTTGACGAGCCAGAGATCTTCAAGTGCAAATCTGATTGTGTTCCTCCTCAGCTCAAAAACCTTCAAAGCCTTTTCATTATCTTTAGGATTATCTTTAAGGAGGATCATAAAGTCCAGACGGTGCTCTCCCTATCTTTCTCCAGCCTGATTTCCTGCCTGCTCAGACTATGTTTTCTTCAGTGAGAACATTCTCATCCTCTCTCTCTCTATCTCTCCCTCTCCTCTCATATTCTCTTCTTCATAGTTAATTTGACTCCCTCTCAAGAGTATGATTCCAATGTCACTTTCTTGATAAAATCTGCCCTTGCTTCCCAGCTCCCCAGCCAGATCAGGTCTCCCTGTGATAGGTCACTATACTTCTTGAACATAAGACAGTTTGTACTTATATATTTACGTGACTTTTAAATTATTATCTACATAAGAGCCCGGAAAGGAAATATATCAACTCAGATCGTTCGATTAAGAAAATTTAACAAAGAGACAGTGCACAGAAGTGTGAGTAAGTTAAGAATATGCCAATATCCTGGGTGGCTCAGGAGGTTAAGCACCTGTCTCTCGACTTCGGCTCAGGTCATGATCTCACAGTTCGTGGGTTTGAGCCCTGCATTGGGCTCTGTGCGGAGAGCACAGAGCCTGCTTGGCATGCTCTGTCCTTCTCTCTCTCTGCCTTTCCCCCACTCATGCTCCCGTTCTCTCACTCTCACTCTCTGTCTTCTCTCTCTCAAAAATAAATAAACTTAAAAAAAAAAAGAGTGCCAACAATAGATGGCTGAGACACCCAAGGACCAGGAACAGTGGGAAGCCGTTAGGACCTTTTAGTCTGAAGGGTAGTCTGAAGGGTCCTTTAGTCTCCCAGGACTGAAGTCATCCACCTGCCTGCCGTTCAGAGTACCAGTGGCCAACAGGCATGAGCCAAATCCCTCTCTGGGACCTGTCCTCCACTAAAATGAACTTCCTCACTGAAGACATGCTCTCCCCCCACCCTACGCAGCAACCACATCAATGACTGATCTACACAGATGTAAAGGGCTAGCCCACTTGGCCCAAGTCGAGACAACTAACTGCAGGGCCATCCCAGCTCACTCTGCCCAATCCTGTGTTCCTCTCTTCCCTACCCCAAGTAGTAACCCCAAAAGCACTCCCCAGGAAACCTCTCACAGGCAGAGTATCAGAGTCTGTTTTCCATAGAACCCGACCTGGAAAAGGGTCAAAGGAAGAAAGTGTTACCCAAGCACTGTGAGGCCTGGTACCACGGAGAAGATGATCTCCTCTAAAAGACGAAGCACAGGGGCGCCTGGGTGGCACAGTCGGTTAAGCGTCCGACTTCAGCCAGGTCACGATCTCGCGGTCCGTGAGTTCGAGCCCCGCGTCGGGCTCTGGGCTGATGGCTCAGAGCCTGGAGCCTGTTTCCGATTCTGTGTCTCCCTCTCTCTCTGCCCCTCGCCCGTTCATGCTCTGTCTCTCTCTGTCCCAAAAATAAATAAACGTTGAAAAAAAAAATTAAAAAAAAAAAAAAAA